CACCCAAAAAAAAAAAAAAAAAAAAAAAAAAAGAATGTGAATGAAGTTTCACGTACCAGGAAACATTGAGGAAATGGTAGTGCTATTTGATTTTCTTTATCCCAGTCTCCAGAGGAAGCCAGGCCAGTGAGTACAGCCACTTGCCATCAGGCCCTCCCATTAAGAAGCACTGAAAGAAGACTCAGGCTGTACAGGGAGACCCCTGGGTGCCAGGATGAAAGGTCTGAGGTTTGAGTTAATTTGTGCCTTGATCTTGCTGGATGACCTCATAAAAATCACTTTCTGGACCTTGGTTTCTCCATCTGAAAGATGGCATTGCTGGATTAGATCAGAGTCTTTAAAATCAAGTAGTTCAAATGTCCTGGTTGGACCAGCTGGTGGTGTAGTGAAGATCGATCTCACGTGGCCAACTTTATGGTTCATATCCTGGACCCTGTGGCTTGAAAGGCACACGTCTGCATGCACATGCCTAAAATCCCTAAAGGAGAATGGAAGAGAAGGGATTGTAGAGTGGCCTTCCCCAGTGTCTGGGGGCCTTCTTCCTTTATTTCTCTCTCTCTCTCTCTCTCTCTCTCTCTTTCTCTCTCTCTTTTTCCCCCTCCTTACAATGAGGGGGAAAAATACATTCTATAGCAAATTTGAAATAAAAAAAAGCTTGCCAACTTCCTAACTATGATTCTTCCATCTTCCGACAGTCCCCTCAGTTCAAGTGAACCCTTACTTGGAAGACTGGTTTTTAAAAATGGAGATGAGGGTCTGGACCCCTACCAGATTAACCTCCAAAACCCTGGGCCTGAGGAGATGGGGCAGTGAGTGAATTAAGGCAGCACTGCTTGGGGGCTTCATTCTGTGCAACTGCATCAGTGGGGACTTTTCCACGTGTTCACCATGATGGATGCCTCCCACACAGCAGCAGGCAGACATTTGTAAGGACAGTACAGGCCATAGTATTGATCTCCTCTGCTTTTCTTCAGTGTTCATTTTCCCTGAACCCTCTTCTCAATTCTCTGACTTTCTCACTTTTCTCTAAGATGCTTCTCTCTTTCTCCCACTGCCCTTTTTTACCCCACTTTTTGGCTCCTGTAGATTCAGGATATTCTGAAGGTGCTGGACCTTAACTGTTCCAATGGGGTAGTGTGCCCACCACTGGACAAATGGAAGGTGAGGCAGTGCTGAGCATACCTGTCTCCTGCTTGCACTCTCCCAGCTATGCGTGTCCCTGAGGTTTTTGTTCACCAGAAAGACAGAGACACAGAAAGTGAGAAATCCCCCCCCAAAGGGGAATAGCCATGCCACACTCCCTTCTCCTCCATTCTCCTCTCAGGATCTTGGGCACACACGCACATGCACATGGTGTGAGTTTCAGCCACTGGACTTGGTGTGAGGTTCAGCCACTGGGTCCAGGACTCAAACCACGGTCAACTACTTTGGAGTCCAGTGACATAGCCTTTACGCCAACTGCTGGTCTCTGGTTTGGGGGCTGTTCTGGCTCTGGCTTATTTTATGTTGCTGCCATTACCCTGAGTTCTGTTTGCTTCTTCACCTGCTTGGTTCATTGATTTATTTCTTCCCCTATATCTTTTATCATTTTGAAGAAGGGGAGACACACCTTGAAGGTTAAAGTTAGTTTGGGAATAACTTTCAGAGCAGTGGAGTTTGGGCTTTTGAATGTCCAGTGAATGCCATCAGGGCTAGGAGAGATGAAACAGAAATGAAAAGCCTTTATGTCTTACCCTCTGGATATTTACCCACAAAGACTACTAGATCACATAGAAGTTTATGATTTTTCAAACTGATTAAATTGAGATTACAGAATGTAAGTTTAAGAGAGAGCAAATTGGCATTGTAGTTGCAAAAACTGAGGTAGTTTGTTCACCTGTATTGAGATGGTTTGTTTAACTGTAAAGGATGTAAGGTTACCATCAATAGAGAAGTGACCAGGACATTGGGCCCCTGATCTCTCTTAAAAATCAAATAGAGGGAACCAGCAGTTAGCGTAATGGCTATGTCGCTGGACTCCCACGTAGTCGACCACGGTTCGCGTCCTGGACCCGGTGGCTTAAAACTCACACCGGGCACGTGTGTGTGCGTGCCCAAGATCCCGAGAGGAGAATGGAGGAGAAGGGATTGCGGCGTGACCAATAGACACTCAGCCATATGCATTGGGTTCCTAGTAGCCAAGGCACCTTGCTAAACAGTGGAGAAAACAGATGAACAAGGTACGGGAACCAGCAGTTAGCATAATGGCTATGTTGCTGGACTCCTACATAGTAGACCGCGGTTTGCGTCCCGGACTCGGTGGCTTAAAACTCACGCCGGGCGCGTGTGCATGTGTGCCCAAGATTCCGAGAGGAGAATGATTGTGGCATGACCATCCCCTCTGGGGAGTGATTTCTCACTTTCTGTCTCTATGTCTCTCTCTGTCTATCTGGTGAGCGCATGCGCCCTATAGTGAAAACCTCTCGAAACAAACAAACAAACACACAAACAAAAAACAACAGATGAACAAGGTAGAGTGCACACCAAGGGAAGCAGTTCTCTGAGAGACACGAGGGAGATGTGACAGTATTTAAATATTCACCAGGCTGGTTCTGGATGGATTCAAGGCAGGAGGAGGCTGGTGTGAAGACACAAGGTGGATAACTTTATTTATTATTTTTTAATCAATTTTTAAACTTATTATTTATCCATTAAATCGCTGTACATCATTTAGATTGTGAAGAGACTATCCAGTATGATATACACCTCAGTCTAGCCATGTTGAGACTATCACACACATCCTCATCAACAGATAAAAACCTTATCTTTGTCCCACAAGTGTCTTGTTTTTCCATTTCCCCACAAATTTTCTTTCTTATGTCCATCGAGAGTAGGGGAGGCTGAGGGAGCAATGAGGTGACAGCCAGCATTATTGTGTCACAAAGCACCTTTCAGGGATGTGAGGAGTGGGTGCAGGGCCAGAGTATTGGTTACCCAGGCTACAGGTGACCTCCAGATGTGATATTGGCATTTCGTCCTATTTGCCAAGGGACACCTGTCAAGTAGAGGAGCAGGGATGAAATAGGGCCAGGTCCTGTGTGCATGGCAAGGGAGAGGGACAGGGACAGGGACAGGGAATTAGGATTAGCTTAGAGAGTGTCCAGAATCACAACATGGCTGACAGTGGTTCGTATCTTGGCTGTGATGTGAAAAAGTATGATGAGCATGGGTGTGTGCATGTCTCAACAGGTTGGCAAAATGGAGGGGACGGGATTGCACTGTGACTACACTCCATTGGTCTGTGCTTTCTCCATCTCTCTGGCGAGCACATGTGCTTTCTGACAGTAAAAAAAAAAAAAAAATCACATTACACGTACGAGTCCTTAGAATAAGAATTTCTCCTACCCGAAGTGTCCCTATCTATTTCTAGAGCTCAGTGGAACTCAAGGGGCCAAGATGGAGTGCACACCTCCCCTCCAACGTCCCCTAAATCACACCTGGCCAGCTGCTGAGTCCCCACTCTGATCTGTTAAATTCAGTTGTAGACATCAAAGTGATGCAAGGTTCCAGTGGGCATATTGCAGCTACCAGGCTCCAGGTCATGGTCACTTTCTGACAGTAAAAAAATATATCACATTACATGCACTAGTCCTTAGAATAAGAATTTCTCCTACCCGAAGTGTCCCTGTCTATTTCTAGAGCTCAGTGGAACTCAAGGGGCCAAGATAGACAAAAAGGCTGCTAGAGACACAGCTAGGAGTGCACTCCTCCCCTCCAACCTCCTCTAAATCACACCTGGCCAGCTGCTGAGTCCCCACTCTGACCTGTTAGATTCAGTTGTAGATATCAAAGGAATGCAAGGTTCCAGTGGGTGTATTGCAGCTACCAGGCTCCAGGCCATGGTCACAGTAAACATGCAAAGATACCTTGGCTCATCGTCAGCTCCTACCCTCTGTGACACTTGCTCTGAGCAGGGAAGTGGGCTTAGATTCCATGGCTTAAGGGTCCAAATAGCAGGCAACCCTTTCCTTGAAGAGAAAGGCAACTACCTCCTCCCCAGACTCAGCCTCACTGGCCTGGTGTTGGCTCCCTAGCACTTTTTCTTGGTCTAGGTATAGCTATCAGCCATCTTTCCCAGGTGCTGCCCGCTTGACCTGTGAGAAGCTGAGCCATGGGCTTGGACTAAGGAAGAGGATCTCACATGGCTCCAGGTCCTAAGTGCTGGGATTGCCCCTTGGCTGATATTTCTGGGAAAGAGACCTCAGGACCTCCAAGGTGCTGAGAGTTAAAGGGAAAAAAATCTTACTTGTGGCTTCTCGGGTTCTTTTTTGGTTGGGTAGTCATTTCTGGAGCTAGGTTGTTGGACTGATGTAATGGACAGGAGATGGCTTTGGGTGATTTTCTTTTTACCTCCATTGAGCAGGGAGAGGCTTCTAGTAGGATGGCTTTTTTCCCCACAAGAAAGGCCTGAATCAGAGAAACAGGCAATGGTGAGGGGTGGAAAACAGGAACTACACTGATCACACCTCCTTCACCACCACTGCACAGCAAGGGTCCTGGATTGGTGTCCTTCTGCACTTTGCTTTGGGAAGCACAGTGCCTTTCTTCCCCTGACTCAGGGACACCTTCCTTCTATCTGCTGGGACTGCCATAGCAAACAATCTGGTACTGTCTTTCTGAGCACCAAGGAGAAGAGGTCCTTGTGCATCCATGAAGCAAGTCATGCAGCCCTAGCTTTGAGCTTTGGTCATCCAAAAATGCTGCTGAGCAGCCCACAGCCTAGGTGAGCCATGTCCACACTCCCAAGCACCACCCAGCATGCATGATTGTCACTCTGATTGCAGCAGCACCTGTCCTACCTCTCTGCTCTTGAATCCATGGCAGTGAGGCATCTTACCTCAGAGCCCTAACCACCTTCTCCATTCTGTGACAGGTGCCCAAAGATCATGCTGCTCCCACACCACCAACTGCTGATGACATCATGTTACCTGATGTTGTCACTGTCCATGATGCTAGTCTTCCTAGCATTGCATCATATCAGGTTTGTGCCTCTTGCCCCTTTGCCCACTGCCCCCCTGCATGCTTGCCCCATCCTCCTTCCCCAGGAGAAGTACTGTGGCCTCTCCTCTCCTGCCTTCAGGTAGTTTGGTTCCTTGCACCAAGTCCCTTTCCCAGAACCAGGGTTGGGGAGGCCAACCTTTGCTTGAGGTTTGAGGAGATGATGAAAGGCTGTTGGGATGAGCCTGGCTCACCCAAGTGCTGGGTAATTCTTACTAGAAGTGGAATGTTCACCTCTTGTGTCTCTTCCCAGCAGAACCATGATGATGAAAATATTCCTGATCTCATAAATAAAACACAGTGAGTGTCTCCTGAAGGATGGTACAATGCTTGACTACAGGAGTCAGGGAAGGTCCTGGTCCTTGTTTCCATTCAAGCTGCCCACACCTCTGATCTCTGTGTCTCTATCCCTAGGACTTTGTCATCACCCAAGAGACTGTGACAACTATCTCAGCAGATTAATTGTCTTATGTTGGAGGTACGTCAGAAATCAGGTTCCACAGGGTTGAGAGGGAAAGAAATGTATGATAGAAACCAAGGCAGCAGAGATTCTTTCTTTTTGGTGAGGGAAAGGTTTTTGTTTTTGTTTTTGTTTTTGTTTTCTTTCTTTTGCTAAAAGGCATATGCACTTGCCAGACAGAGAGAGACAGAGAGACAGAAAGCGAGCAATTACCCCCAGGGGGGATTGCCATGCTGCAATCACTTCTCCTTCATTCTCCTCTCGGAATCATGGGTGTGCATGCACATGCACGCAACGTGAGTTTTAAGCCGGTGGGTCCAGGACTTGAACCATGGTTGACTACATGGGAGTCCAGCAACACAGCCATTACACTAACTGCTGGTCCCAAGGTAGAGATTCGTAAGAAAGGTAAGGTCCTGGGGCATAGAAACCTACTGGGTGATGTTGGGCAAGTGACATCTTCTTCAAGTCTTATCCTTGGAAGCTACACAAAGGAAGGTGTTAGGCCATGAGTTTGCTTACATCATTTTATCTGGATGTGTAAAGTGCAGAATAAGAACTGCTCAGGAGGAGAAGGTTGACAGGAAGATAAGATCCCTGAAAAGTAGGCACAAAGAGGTTACAGGAGCAGATGTCCAAGATCAGTCCCAAAGAGCAATTTGCTAGCTGATGGGGATGAAAGCCAGTCAGAGAGCATCTCTGGGGACAGAGGGACAGGGAACAGAGCATGTCCAAGGGCTGTCATCTCTTCTAGTCTTCATCTTATGCTAGTAGACAGGGTCTTATCTCTCCTGACATGAACAACCTGGAGGTAAGACCCTGGACCATGACCCAGAGACCCTGCAGGCCAGCCCCTGACCTTCTCCCACAGTGGGGGGCTAGGTGATCCCTGCCAACTGAGACAGCCCACCTCCCAACCGTAATGATTGCTCTTTCTCTCCCCCAACCTTCCTCCAATTCCTTCTCTCTGTATGTGCCTCAGAGCTAGTACCAAGAACTAGAAGTAGCCCTGGGCTCCAGCTATCAAACAACCAACTCAGAGGAATTCCTAAGAGCCCAATGGGGTCTCCTGAGTCCACACTGGCAGTCCTGTGCCTGTTTCCACTTGGGGCTCTGAAGACAGGGTCTGGAAACCCCAGTGCCAAAGGAGAATGCAGTTTTTTTGGGGAGCAAGGTCTTATCTGAAGAGACCCCAGTTCACATAGCATGCAGCATGGTTTTTCTATTGCTGCTCTTTTCTTTGCTGTCTTCTGAAGTCAACCCTGACTGAGTCCTTGCCACTGCCCTGAGGTCACTGCCTCTAGTGGAAGCACTGGCCTGTCACCTGGCAGGAGCGTAGTCCCTGACCTGCTCTCTCTTTGATTTCAGATAAGCCAATCCTCCTCCATGGGCTTTAGTCTACTGGGAGGTCAAAGTTTGCTCTCAGCTCTTAAGCATCAGAGATTGAAAAAGCTCCCTAGAATGTGGCAGGGAGAGGGGAACTTCTCTGTTAAAGCCAGGACTGGGACCATAACATGTGCTCAGTAAATCCTGCTTGAACATGAACATACTGTTCTAAATCACAAGTTAACAGTATAGTTCTCTTGTCTCAAACTATATTTCTAGACATTTTTTTTTTTGAGAATCCAGATTTTGGCTTTGGGCTCTGTAACTGTGAGTGAAAACCAGTGAAAAGAGTTGGAGGAGAATTTGTCAATTCATGTCCCCACAGGGCCTGAGAACTCTCCCTTTAAGATTGATTTCTGCCCTGCCACAGTGACACAGGAAGCAGGGCATGACACAGGGTGGTGCTAGAGTCACATGGAGGACTACAGACTGGGTCCCAGGCCAACCCAAACACCAGGCATATGCACACACACGTGCCCATGATCCTGGCTGGCTGGAGGGCTGGGGTGATTGTGGCATGATGGAACCCTCTTGTGGGCGCCAATTTCTCTCTCTCTCATGGTGGAAATGAAAAACAAAAACTCTTTAGCCCCCTGCCCAGCCCTTCTTGGTCTGAGGATGAAGTAAAGGAGACATCCTCAATCACTTTCCTTTAACTTTCCCCACAGAAACAACAACAACAAGACACTCGAGATCAGCTGGAAAAGGTAGCATGACTTCTATGTTTACTTGTTACCTGGCTGATGGGTTGGCGGGGGGGACTTTGATGTAGAGGCCAGCCTTGCCACGTCCCCTTGTATCTGCCCCGGAGAAAGCTCCTGCTGCAGCACACCTCCACCCCCACAGCATCCCTGATATTCTAGTAGCCTTGTGATCTTCTTCCGGTAAGAGGTGCTTCTTCCCTCTTCCTACAGGAGGAGAGAGAATGCCATCAAACCTTGGTAAATGAATAGGGGGACCTCAGGGAACAACTGAAGGTGAGTGGGCCACATGTACCCTTCGTGTCCCCTGGAACATTTCTTTCCCTCTTTTTCAGAACTTGTTTTATTTTTCTCCCTAGGTCCATATTCAAAGAATAGGCCTCCCGATTTCTGAGAAGGCAGAATTACAGACAGCCTTGGCCCACACTCAGCAGGCAGTCTCGCAGGGAGCAGGTGGATCTCAGGGCAACCCTTATTCCTTCACCTTGGTGGACTTTCAGAGGAAGTCTTTTGGCTCCATCTCCACCTCTCTCATTCCAGGAGAGTCTGAGGATCTTGCCAACTGCCTACAGGCTTCTCAACAGCATGTACGAGAGCTGGAGAAGACATTGTCTGCTGTCTTTGTGAAGCAGAAGGAGGTGGAACGGGTGAGCCCAGCCACTGGCAGCCGAGCTTCCTGAAGGTTCCTTCTGTGGGCTGGGGGGGTCTTGCTGATGGGAGTGGAGTATGGGCTGTTTCTTGCAGCTTGGCTGTGTGGTGGTTAGAGTTGGCAGCTGTGAGTGAGCTGGGGCAGTGCTTGCATTGGATGCAGAGCCTTAACCAAGTGGTAGGAGAAGGAGTATGGTGCTTGGGCAGTCAAGGTACGGAAGAGTATTCCTGAAGGATTCCCAAAAAGCTCAGGGAAGAGGACAGGGTGGCTCAGAGCCATTTCATTCTGTCCTTTCTGATTCTTGGACTGTGTGTATTTATCATCCATTCAGAAAATGAAGATTAAAATACAGGGGCCAGCATTTGGCTTGGTGGAAGGTACTGGACTCCCACGTGGCCTACTGTGGTATAAGTCCCACACAAGTCAGCTTGAAAATCACACTGGTTGCATGTACGTGTGATGCCACAATCCCAAGAGGAGAATGGAGAAGAAGGGATTGTGCCATGGCCAGCCCCCTGCGGAGTGATTCCTCACTTTGTCTCTCTCTGTCTCTGTCTCTCTGGCTAGTGCCTGTTCCCTAT